CATTCAAAATATATATTTTCAAATATAAACATAAGAAATTGTAAATAAAATATCAGAGTACAATTTCTAAATTATTTTGCATCAATATGTCTTCTAGCCACCATTATAAAATCAACCATTCTTTTAAGATAGATTTAGAGCCAGAGTTGGAAAGACAATGAACCAATTTGTCCTCCCAATTCCAATTGTATGTTTATAAGAAGAATTCATAAAATCATAGAAATAAAAATTGATCCTGTCAATTCATGTTGATGTTGATGAGCTGAATTGCACTTTGGTCAAAACGCTTCTTTATTCGCTTTTTTACTCTGATCATCGGATTGACCCGATTCCACTCGAATGGAGGATCGTATGAGACGATCAAATGATTAATGCGCCTGGGCCAGGCAAACTGGCCCCGGTTCGCCCAGGCTCATGTGAACTCGAGCAATTAGCAATTGGCTAATTATATGGTTAACGGGCGATGAATAACGCAGTCGCGCGAGCGCGCGGCGCTTAATTGCGCGCCGCAAATGGAAAGGCTCTTCCTTCCCAGTCACGCATTTTTTCCACGTTCCTCTTCCGCCGAATCATGGCCGAATGCGAACGATTTTGCCTCGTGTTCGCTTCTTAATTAAATCCGGTCCGTGGTGGGCATTATGAAAACGCCAGTCTTGAAAAATAGAAAATGGTTCGATTTATGATATTTTGAAAAAGTAACTTTTTTTATCTTCTGGCATAAGACAAATATGTTTTCAAATTGATTTATTAGTATTCTTTCGAAGGTATTCACATTGGGTGGTCTGATTTATTCATTGGATCATTTATTATTGCGCTATTCTTTAATCTCATAGTCATTCGTAAATGTTTTGAAAAGTAAAATCTAGAATAAATTGAGTATTAAGATAAAGAATCGTAAGTTTGTAGAGAGATTGATGATGCTTTCTGTTTTTGTTTCAGAGAGAGAGAGAGAGAGACAATATTATCGGAAGATGGATATTCGATGCAAAGTATAGGTATGCTTCCAAAGATAAGCCCTAAATTAATCCCAGTATTTTATCGTGAATCGATCTTTGAATAAGACAATGCGAGGGAAATTAACCCATAATTATGAGGAAGGGAAGGAGAAATCTCGCGTTCTGTTACAATGCTAGCAACACCACTTCATCTCAGCATTAGCGAGAGATAAGAATTCGAGAAATAAGAAACACACACGCTGCTTTTTGTATTGACTTCAATTCTCCCTTTATACGGGAGTCAAGTGGCGGGTGTTTGATCCCGCTATTCAGTAGTAGCGCTATTCGCGTTTCACGCATTCCACGATACGATCTACGCCGACGCTCTACGTCGCTCTGGATAGCACGTCTCCCGTTTACGCCGACTTTGCTAAGGGCTGGAATATGAATGAAACATGAAAGTAGAAATGTTGAGAAATATAAAGTAGACAATAAAGAGAAGACAAGACAGAGGAGACGGCGATTTGAGACCGGTGATGTAACGTTATTCTTTCCGGAAAAAAAAAATAATAAACCGAGTACACGTTCAATACGGAAATAGAATACCGACTGTAATACTAAGGATACTCCTTTGGAGTCCTGATAATCTTTTATTTCTGAATTTATATATAATTTTGAAATAATTTCTTTCTATGTTATCAACAACATTTTTAACGGATTTCGAAACGTGACGACTTAAAGCCAAAACCATATCTTTCTCTCCCTCCCCCTTTTTTAATAAATCGTAATCAAATTGATATCGATTAATCCTCTTCCTTACGAAACATTATTGCGAAAAATGTTCTCATTTAAGATTCGAACTTAGACTTATCCGAAAATTCTTTTCGGAAAAATATCGGAGTCTAGACACAATGAACAAGAATAGGGAATTAAATATAAAAAATTAGCACAGAAAATTATTTTTGACAATGACAAAACATTCCTTGATTGTGTATTAAAACATGGTTTCCCATGTATGTCGGAGAGAATTTAATTCTCTTCTGTTCACTTCTTTATTTCTTTCATTACGTCTAGGTCCTAAATCTTGAATGCGTGACAGTCCGCCATCTGTTTAATTTTATACCATCTATTTTCAGATCCGTTAATAACGTAACAGGTGTTTCATCATCGTATAATGAGATAATCAACTTTGAAAAGTAAATAATTAGAGGGTAGATATGAAAATAGAGGGGGTAAAATAAGTAAAGTAAAAATGTAGAAGCTAAGAAAATATCTTGTACGATTCTTCTTCTGTTTATTTTTCTTTTCTCCTAATAACTGTCCCCTAAAAATTTCTAATTGCTTTAGGACTTGCTGCAAGATATATTTTTTTCATGGAGAGAAGACTAACGAAATGAAAGCAGATCTCTGTTCCGTTTGTGTATCAGCGAGCTAATGCGAACTGTCAGCGCGATCAGACACGCGAGGTGTCCCCGGCGACTCAAGATTCGCCTCGCATTGCTCGTCACGGCGAGTTTCCGTCGCGCGTCGCACGTACGGAAGTTCTTGCGAGCCGGGAAGAAAGAAGCTCCACCACGCGGGAGGAAGAGAGCCGAGGAGTTTGTCCCCCGGAGAGTTGCGAGGCAACGTCAGATGGAAAACGGTGGTGGGTCACGGTACAGTAACATGTACTGTTAAAGAGCGCGCGCAATAACGAGCGCGCTCGCCGAGCGCGAATCTGTTGCACGCACCCGCCTACCTCCCTCCTCCCTTCGGTCGGTGCCTTTCGCATTTGCGCCCTTTTACGCTCACTCGCGAGATATTAATAGGACCGCGGCGTGCGTGTCGGCCGAGCAACGCGTGCCTCGCGTAAAACGCCTTTCGCGAAGCCAGCGATCTTGTTGTCACGTAGGCGATCTTGTAGATCCCCTTAGTCATGCGAAACATTCTCGTTCAGTGTATGTAATCGGCCTGATCTTTTTAACTTGCATCTCTTGCACGGTTCATCTTTTCTTCCTTTTTTTTTCTTTTTTTTTCTTTTTTTTTCTCACGGAAAGACAAACCGTGCAAGAAGTTCAAAAACTAAAAGGAACAAGCCTGTATTTGACAAACACGAAACGTTCACTCTCGTCACAGTGATTGCGATTTGGGAAAGGAAAAAAAAAATCATCAAATAATTAAGTTTAGAAATCTATCGCACAACATACATTTGTTCATATTAAATTTAATGACACATTCCATGAACTCTTTTTGGGAAGATATATTTATCATAAAAAAATCTTTAATAAGGAATTAGTATACGTATTTTTTTCGCAGTTCCGCTTTGATAGAAAGATCTTTTTTTCGTTCTGTTTATTGGAAATCATGAGAATCACGGTTATGTCAGTTATTGTTGCCTTGAAAGGCAACGTGGTCGCGTTCACACGGACCGCAATCGCGTCACGAATACGGGGAAGTATTTGTTTTCTTTTCTTTTCGATAAATGAGGCTTTCCACGTGTAAGCGAAGCCACGTCGCTCCTGATGAAACGATGCATGATGTAGACTGTGGTCTGCGGCTCGTACAAAAGTGTTCTAATAGTGAATCACGGATCGGAGTTCGAAAAACACTGATGTGAAACAGAAACTCTCGAGATGACCCTGAAATCTGCACACGAATCACGTGTGTAATTATCGTGACTGCGTAATCCATTGAAATTAACATAGGCGGCACCGCGCATTCCTACCTCCCTCGAACATTCCGAGTTATTTTATACGTATGGTCGTTGAACATCGTCGTCGCGTAACGAGGCTTGTGGGAGTTTTCTTTTTCCCCGGCTCTCTTCGCTGACTCTCCAAGAATATTTGCCTTACAGAGTATTTGTCTTGCCTTAAGTTTCTGTATCTGTTTCTGTATCGCTGATAAACGTGAAACAGATAGAACTCCGGCCACTTCGCTATGCAAGAAGCGAGACGTTACATCGCCAGTCTGAAATAAACCGGCGACATTTTCATATATTTTTTAGAACGAGCGATCTCGTCTGACATTTTCTCTCCTTTGCATAAAGGAGTGTGCTTCTCTAAAGATAAACGATCTATTTGCAGTGCGACGTTTAAGTAGTCGATACTGAGTATGAGAGTCGTTTTGTACAAATACTGAGATCTGACCTCGGAGCAGAATTTATATATAAAGTGTACAGATAAAATATAATCTACTATTTTTTTAATGAAATGTAATATTTATTGTTAAACAACCGATATAGTTCTATTATAAACGCAATCTCCGTCATTTTTTTAATACTTTTCTCCAAGCAAGTTTTAGATCCCGGCTCGATAGAAAGATTTGCGATGAATTAAATCATATTTTTATTTTTTGACATTTCTGAATTTTTTTTATCAGGCAAGGCATGCTGCATCGATTAGAGTAAATGATAATCTGGTCATAAAAGCGCTATATTCGGTGAATACGTTGGATGCGATATCCTAGTCAAGATGCAGCACGCTTTATCTGACAAAAAATTTAGAAATATCAAAAATAAGAAAATGGCATGATGAATTCATCGCAAAATCTTTCTATCGAGTCGGAAATCTATAATTGCCTGAAAAATGGAGGAAAGTATTGAAAAATAATAGGAATTTTTATGAACTATATCGGTATGTTCTGATAATAAATATTGAATTTCATAAAAAAATAGGATTATAAATGGATTATTTTTTACTACCTAATATATATATATATTACATTTATATATATATATACATTTTTTTTTTTCAAAAATTTTATATATATATATAAAAAATATATATAAAATATTTTCCTATCGAACGCCAGAGATTTTCATGTTTTTATATTGTTTTTGTTTATCAAATTTCAGGAAGATTGCGCATTTTTTCTAAATCATAGATATATCGGAGGCATAAACAGTTTGAGTCATAAACGGTTGCAGATATATGGCACGTAATTCTCTTAAGTACCTCGCTGCACGCGATAGAACAGTTTTGCATAGTCGTTTTTTTTTTTTTTTTTTTTTTACGCCTAGTACGGTATTGTTTACACCCCGGTAGGAATTAACGTCGCGTGCAGCCGATAAT